AAAAGTGGTATAAAAAACTATATGTCTTACATTTGCCGATCGCTTTCATCTGAGAGTATTATGTTGTTAGTCTTGACTTTTCATTTAAATTCGGAATGCAGTGCACGTCATAACTGGGTGGTCGTACAACTGTGCCGACCCTATTGCGACAATATTTATATGCCAGAGCCTCCTATTTCATTGATTGATTTAAAATTTGTTTTCGCCATGAAGTTAGGCGTATTACTTCCAAAGCCGATAAACTACTAAAACAAATGACTACTCCAATTTATAAAAATAAAAATAAACAATTCTTGTAATTTCTCACAAAGCATCTTCATTTAATTACTATGTATTAGTTTTTCAAAAGAAGTAGATTGTTATCTAATCAAAACTCGCGTATATAGTAAACAACTGAATCTTCGGGATGTATAGCACAGCCATTGAAAATGATGACGATTGTTGTATCATTTGGTAATTGTCAATTTCTTCCTACTGTTGTCGTATGTCGTTCACCTCTGCTGTCAATTTCATAGATATGAGATACTTGTATCATATCATGACTGAGGGAGCCAAGTGTTTGGAGAATAGACCATCTGTATCAATACACAACTAGTATATGGAAGTGGCGCGCATGTATAAATCCCACATGAAATGACAAAACAAAACAAAAATATCCAAATGCATTAGATATATAAAAACACTGTTTTACGTTATATTCAATTTTAAAACTATTAGCAATCGCTACCCAGATTTCACTAGTGTCTGGTACGTAATTGAAGGTAGGTCAAAGGTGGTAGGCATTCTAAGGATTTGTCCTAAAGATTCGGAATTAAAGCGGGAGGGTCGTTACCTGCGCACACGTGAGAATTGAGTTCCAAGCGATGATAAAAACACACGCTAAAAACGCAAAGGCTCATAGGTAGATGCTTGTTTGTAAAAAAAAAAAAAATTACACGCTATGGCCATCTGACTCGTGTGCAGGTGACGACTCCCCCACTTTACCATGCTACCGATATAGCAAAATACGTGGTTCCTTGATTTTTAGATGTAATTATAAAATTGAGCTATAACCTGTTACTCTACCCCCTTTCTATCACAGTCTATTGTGCAGTTGGTGGAAATTACATTGCCAGCAACCAGTTCAAACAGTTGCTAACAATATAATTTGGAATAACGCCAACATTCTCATTGATAACAAGAGTGTGTGTTATCTAGATTCATTTTAAAGGGCATTGTCTATATCTCGGACCTTTATATCTCAAATGGAAAAATAAAAAATTAGACACAACTACAAGAAATTGGGTTTACTCCTAGACAATATCTCCTTTGGCACGGCATAATTTCTGCTATACCACCAGAATGGAGAGGCTGTACTCCCTTTTTTGTTAGACCAGAATTGCTTATTGGTTTGTACATTAACAACATATTCTTTGGACATCAATATGTAATAGATGGGGTGAACTTTTAAATACCCCAGACACTTTCACAGATATTCAAATTTTGCTGGGCGATGATCAGTTCTCAAGTTTGTTGAACCATATCATTATTATAACTAAACAAATTATTTATTCCTGTAAATTAAATGGCACTTCACCTTCATTTCGTCTGGTAGAAAAAAAAGTTATGGAAACTATAGAAATGGAATATTGTATATGTAGTAAAAATAGCACTATCGAATTGTTTCAGGTGAAGTGGGGAAACTTTACCTAATGTTGGTTTGTGCATCTTCCAATTTACAATCCACATTTTTTAATACAATTGGAGTTACATGGTAATCTGTCTTCATTAATTGTTGGTTTTGTTTATTACTGTATTTACTGTATTTATTAAAGTCCTGTAATTTTTTTGTTTATGGGTAATGAAAAATATTTATCAAAAAAACCCAATACATCTGTATATCTATGACATGATGTATATTGAATATATAAAATTTGAACATAATCAGTCAAAGCTATTCATTAAAACAAAATAGCTGCCAGTCAGCCATTTTGAATCAGATCTGAAAAAAACGACGTGCATCAAGGTCCCATAATGTCCAATGTATGCACCATGTTTGAACAAAATCCATCTGTAAACAGCAGAGATCTCGTTCAGGAATGCCAGAAATAGCTGCCATTCAGCCAGATTGTGAAACAAATTGATACATTTGTATGTACATGTATAATATTTAGTTATGATGTGTGTGTGAAGTTTGAATGTAATCGGTTCAGGCATGTCTGAGATATAGATCCTGAGGCATGGACAGAAGCATACACAGAAGTCAATCCATAAGTCTGTTTTCAGACGATGTCCGAACGGGAACTAACAAAGAGGTGGAGCACCCTGTGCCAGTGCATATGCGTTACAGATGCATGATTCAAGATCTCTAACTCCTATGTATTTTGTTGATGATGCAGCATTAGACCATTGGGGTACTGGAATTCACGTAATAAATTCATTTCAGTCCGAGCTTCACTTCGAAATGACTCACAAGTCATTTCTGTATAACATATCTTGTGCCTACCCAGTTTTGTATTTTTTCACTAGTGTTTATTAAGTGTAGGTATTGAATTCACACTGTGTTTTAAGTGAGATTTGGGTTGACTGCGATGCATGCAGCTTCATTTTTTAGATTCAGACTTGAACTCACTTGTCTAACTTTATAATAGAAAAATATTCATAGTAATTGGTGTGATACCATAAATTAGAGGGGCTGCTTCCCTTTGTTTTTTAGTCACTCCAATTACTACTTATACTACCCGTCTGCCTCCCCAGAACCAGTACATTGCCATTGAGAAGCTGCTGAGCCTCAGGACGGAAAAGTGGAGCAAAACTAAAAATTTGACAGGTATTACCCATAATCCCTGGAGGTGGTCCTGCTGGGTGATACCATTATTTTTAATCGTTGGGTTCTGGCTGGCAGTTATAAGATGCACTTTGTCTGACTGCACAACATACAAACACAGAATACAACTCACAAAATGTACATATTTTATTTAGAAAAAAAAACACAATAATTATTGTCTAATTGAATTTAATGTGGAAAAAACTAAAATCAGATGAAATAAAAAGTGAACATGATTGCACAAATAAAATAGTTTTCAAAAAAAAATTCTATACCCTAACTATTAATACACATGAGTGTAGGTAATGGGGAATTTGTTTTGCTGTTGTTTGTTTATTATCAAATGACAAAATATAGATGTAAAACTTGAATGGAGTAAAAGGCAATAAATGTAACCTCTTAGAAAAATGCATTGTTAAATACATATTGCTTATTGTATGTAAAAAACTAGCATAAATAAACATCTCTTATAGCAGTTCAAATTAGCTGTGATGTGTCAACATTTTATAAATAATAACAATGACAAGGGGTGCAATTTAAAGAAATGCTCGAACCATGGCAATAAACATCTTAAAGCCCTGAGTATAATTATATATTTACATCTTATATTTTTAGTAACAGCAAAACTGAAATATTGCAGGAATCATTTTAGCTGATTTATTTACAAACTCCCTGCTAAGCTAGCAATTATTACCATGATTACTAAAGTAGAACCCATCACACACTAATCCACTACTGTTCATTGAGGTGCTAAGATTCTGAAGCTTACAGTGTTCTTGTGATAGACCATTTGTTTCTCTAAGCCTGGTATCGTATACTGAATGCAATGAGTTAAAACTGCTAAAATTCTAGACATTTTTTTATAAGCAAAGAAATTGTAGATTACAGTGAGTTATGAACTGCAGTAATTAATTTCATTTACCAGCATGAAAATATTACAGCCACAGTCTTAAAGTGAATACCACTAGAATAAAATACAATCATATTACAGCAAACAATATAACCATACACAGCAGGATAAAAAGTGTGAGAGCCACAATAGTTGGTTAATACAGTGACTACTGTTGTTTCTCTTTTGTCACTTGGATAAGCGTCTCTGGTGACCTGTAGAGGTATATCAGTTTGGCAGTAAGTTCTTCCTCCAGTAAGAACTCGTTGCTTTCCCTGACCATGAAAATGTCCAAACAAAGACGCAAGATGCGGTCTGGATTTGGAAGTTCTTCAAACATAATTCTGTATGAGATACCACTGACAAACATCCTGACAAATCTACCGACCACCAATACTAAGGACACATACAATCCAATAATGCTGAAATTGATAAAATATCTGTTAGTAACTAAATCTGTGTGTCTATGTTAGGAAGAGGGCATGTACATAATGTGACAATACTTACTATAATTTACCTGGACATCATTGAGGGTTAACATACACATCCTGACAGTGGCCAAATGTGAATTCATGCTTAATATAAATAGTGGATTTTTCTGAAGTATTCATTTCTAATTTTCGTAAACTTGTAACATGTACATGTGTACACTATGGATGATGATAAAAGATGAGATACATACCCATAACTGGTGAGGAAGGATAGTGCATCAGTTGTAACTCGATCATTGAATGAGATTATGGTTAGGTATTTATAACGAGGACTATCCTTGTCAACATATTCTTGCAGTCGCCACCACTCAACAAATTTTTGGTCTTCATCGTGTTGTAGCTGAACATCCACATTGCTGAAATTTTTCTCACCACCTAAAAACAAAAAAGGTTTGTTTTTAGACTGTTTCTATCGTACATAAACTGTTGGCTTGTCAGCTATGTGTGATTTGATTGCAGTGCAAGCTGCCATGTATTGTAGTCACAATAAAATATATCCAAGCATTGGCAGAAACATGCAGAAATACAGTAACTATTTTACCAGTCAGTCAGCTAAATTGTGAAAATACTATGAACCCCAGCATGATTTGATGGTAGGTACATTGAATTTAAATCTAAATGGTCCATACATGACAAAAGCATGGGACATAAGAATGGCCACCAATGACACACTATGATATATAGAAGATAATATTTGGTAATCGTAGTCCTAAATAACTATTAAAAATAGCTAGACGTTTTGAGCAATGGCTCTTTATCAATAGCATAGAAGAAAATGTAATAACACACTAATGACACACTATGTCTTGCATTGGTGACTTGCTTATCTAACAAATGTCTGTGTACTTGTAATAAGAAATTGACTAAAATCCATCAACCTTAATTTCAGACAAAATGTAAAGACTCAAGTAAACAACTGTGGGCAGCAATGCGGACGTGAAATTACCTGGTAACAGTAGTTCAGCTGGCCTCACTTCTCCAGATGCTGGTACCACAACATAACGTGGAAACATATTAGGGATGTTCCTAAGATAAGACAAAAATGCATAAACTCATCATTTACCCTGACTATACATTGTGATGCATCATCTCATATGAACACTGTAGTAACAGCATACATGTGGGTATATATGAAATTGCATTGTCTGATACACATTGCACATTTCTCCTACAAATGCGTATCGACAATGCCAAATCCAAACAGCTTAAATGGTCGCACTCAAGGTACTGTACCAGAAAGTCAGAAGATGAAAACAGACTCTACACAGTATTGAAGGAGTATATTGCTCACACATATATGATACCAATAGAATGTAAGCAAAGATTCATCAACTTACACAGGATCTGATCTTGTTTTATTTAACATGGCAGCCAGTTCCATTCTGATTAATTTGGTTTGTATTTTATTTGGGTTCAAAGTATGATGAGCAGTGTAACTAACAGTTTCCACTACTAAGGCATTGGTTGGTCTTCTGTACAAAGTAAAAAGAAATATTATGAGATAAGATGCACAAGAAATAGATCAATGTCTGCTTATTTTTTTTTCTTTGAGTGTTATATACCAGCCTATGGTAATATACTGTAATTATTTGCAAATCTAGTGGCATATTTCTACCCTGCACTTTTCAGTCTTGTTTCCATCCTTAGAAATGACATATTACAGAGACCTACTAAAGAGATCCAAGCAAGACCCAACACTTAATATGGATGTAATGCTGCATAATTGCCAATTCTAAATGTAGAAATGGCTGTAAAATAATTTGCCTCATGAAGCAAAACAGAAAATACCTTGTGAAGCTCATGAAGAATTTAATATCTAAATCACGAGTTGATACAAGATCCTGAATCAAAAGGTCTCGGCTTGGTGGGCTTATGGTCCACACTGTTGTGGAGGAACCAGACAAATGGGAAACATAGATGTCCTCCCTTTCATACTGTTGTAAAAATGCCTGAATATTCTGGAAGTAAAGAAAAAATAATAATAACAGCTTTTAGTTGGAAAAGATATGAGGTAATAAACATCCATGTATATACAATCATACGAACAGATGAATCACATAGAACGAAAATCATGATACACTTTTATAATTGGTATATAAACATTGATCAAATTATCAAGTTATAAACAAGTTACACGATTATGTAATAACAGACTAGAAGAGCAACTGTGTAACTGTAACTGCGTGTATGGCCAAGATGGTTAACTTTCCAGTTTAAACCTCCATGTGAGTGGTCTGTAATACATTAGACGCAGAACAATCAAACCTAAGCAAGATTTTAAACCTATGAAAAATATAACTACGATTAAAATTTATATGAATAAAAATTATCCTTCACAATATAACAATATTAACAACAGTGACATTTTCTCCCCAATATATTTTGCCCTTCATAATTATACTACGGGCAAGGCAATGAAATAAATTGGTGTGCTCCCAGCAGAGGCATTATAAAATAAACTTTGAAACAGGGCTAGTAACTTTCTGACAGGGCTGGTGAAATTTTAAAGTTACTAGTGTCTGATACACAATGTGAGACAATGACAATACATTGCAGTGCATATCTACAACCTATATATGTATCAATCCTAATTAATACCTAACTCATTTCCCAGAGAAATGGTTACATATATATAAAAAAAAAAATTCAGAAGAGGGTTTGCTATCTTTTTCCTTCCTTACTGATATAACCATTAACTAAGAAGGACACTAAATATTGTTCTTTTGTGCACCTAACAAATGCATGTACCCTGTTTTTTGGTTACTTATAGTACTGTAAAATGACTAATTTTCACTGGGTTTAAATTTCACTGATTTACCATTTCAGGCATATTCAGTGGGTTTTAAGTTCACGGTTTCGTCATTTAGATAATGTGTTCTATGGTAAATTTTACATATTCACTGGGTTTTAAATTAGCGCATTTTCCAGTCAGCGAAATAAGCTAAATTAAAACCCAGTGAATAATTACCCCCTTTACAGTAGTGTATTTCCTGCATGTCAGTGTAGCAAATAAAATTTATCTTCAATACAGCCCTTTTTACATATCACAAATCCAGTCATTAAGTGGGATGCGTTTATTGTACAAAGATTCAATTTTGAGATTATGGTCAGTCAATGGAACATACAATGTAAGCAGTGAAGTATGCAGGTCAATATTATGGAGATTAATCAGATATGGCTCATTATCAGATTTAATTGTTCTGTATGTTCTAAGCTTATATTTCTCATAGGAGTTGACACATTGTAATTGTTTTTCTCATTGTAATCTAGGATACTTACTAAGTTTTCTTTATACTTTTCTTTGAACTCATGATCATATTCTTTATTACTTAATATTGGTTTTAAGTCTTCTTGTTGCGCACTCATTTGATACAAGTACTGCAAATAGAAAATTTGATTAACAAACATTTTCTGTACATGTGTAAAACTTACAACTAGTTGGGTGTAAATGCCTTAATTTTGTACAAAAATTGCTATAGAAATTATATTATATATATAAGAGGTTAATTCAACAAGCAGTGTTATAAAATTAATAGTCTCAGAAAAGGCTCTCATTACTGTCTTTGTGTTTTGTTATTTATGGCCATGTCTCATTTCAGTGCCAGCATCTAACACCCTTGATATGTGTGCATGACAAGCATTCCCAGAAAAAGTGTTACCTCTGTACCCTACCCTCTGACATTAACTCTAACTCTACTCCTACCCTCCAGCATTCCCCATTTAATTGCATATGCCCCTCCTAAGTCAATGGCAGAGACTTACCTCATAACCATCTATTTGTATATGTATAGTACAGTCAGAAGGCGGATTTGACACACTTGTACTTTCTATGATCACAGAGAAATATATCAATGGAAACCATATTATAAGGATCAATAAGATCAATAATAATAAACCAACAAAGTATTTAGATAAGGTGCCTTTCTTCTGTCCTCTTGGAGTTGGATAATCCTGCAGAAACATCAAAGAGGGTTTAAGACACATATAATTGCAATACAGTGAAATACATGTCTTTGCTACAATGTAAATTACGCCAGGCCTTTAATTTCAGGGGAAAAGTTTACAGTGTATTAAAAGACATTCATGTAATATTCCTACCATTTTAGCAGTCTCATGGTATGGTGGTAGCTAGTATCTCTTTAAATAGAAACTATTTTACTATAAGTTGCTTCATAAGGAGATTTGTGAGATCACTGAATTGGGGAAGATCATGTGTTCCCCAGTAAGGGCAGGGCTGACACATTGGGTGTAATTTACATGCTTATGTCCAGCATGGATAGAATGTTATCATTCTAAGCATTGCAAGAGTAACACTTACTTTTTCTCCTTTCCGCCAACATTTAAGTTCATAGACAATATTATAAATGTCTTCTATTTTCATCCAATGTGATAGAGCCAGTGTTGTATCAGTCCATGTCCAGTCCATTATTATACGTAACTCCAATAAAAATGGTATCAGACAAAATCTAACAAAAATAAAAAATTAAATTAAAAGATAGGTAGAATGTACATTTCAACTACAGTTGTGAGTTTAACAAGCCCATGACCCCCCTCCCCTCTCTCTCTTCTTGTGAGATGGCATGTTTTAAAATAATTCATCCCAGCATGCCATGAGTCCATGTTATGAAATATGAACAGTAAGCAATATCAACAACAGAACTGCCTGTGCTGCAAGTGTGGACATGCAATGTAATTGGACAATGTTCATGTTACTGTCATCGCCATATTGTTCTGAACACCAAAACAGCAACATTGCCAGCTATGTTGCTGACTGGTTTGCTATATGTGTGTCTGTATATGTGGTTAGTTCAAACCACTTTTACAAGGTTACGCAGTTTGGCAAAATGTGCTCATTTACTGACTGAGTCAGTACATACATACAGTTAATTTTATTTGAATAAATTTGCCATTTATTATATACAAATTTATATTGATTGATTGAAATATGTGAAAGGCAAACGCTAACACGAACAAGATAGGTTAAACCGACCACAACAGGAGACTAATAATCTGACACGTTGAATATAAATAGGAGATCACAATGCGATTGCTTTTCAATTATTAGCCAAACTAAATGGCTAATTATTAAAGACAACACAACCAAAATGTGTAAGATTAAAGTATGTTGGTTTAATGTATATTTTAGTTGACAGTTTTAACTGAAAATTCAGTTTGAAGAGTCAACTAAAAGCAAGTGAAGAAGAAGACTTACTCACCCTTTGAATAGAAAGAGATTGACATAATTGTACTTCTTGGTTAAGAAGTTACCCAGAATTCTTGTAGGATAGCCTGATCTAATCTGGTATGCTGACAACCCAAAATAACAGCACTTAACAAAATACCATAACTGGGCAGGAGTGTTATCAATGAACAAGCTGGTAATAGAAAACAGACAATAGCTTGTGTTATTTCAAATATAAACCTGTGATATATAGGTGTAGTCAACTCATAGTATTTAGGTAGAACCATGGGATTCATGTTAAAAATATGTCAGCTTGAAGTGTTGTGAAACACTGAAAATGTTTTCAAATACATTATAAATGTATGTGATCATCAGCAAGTACATGTAGGTTTCTGGGGTCTAAAGATATGATTTTGAGCAGTGAAATAAAGTATTAAATTTGTGCATATATTACATCCATGAATGAGGGAAAGCCTGTTTGAATATACTTGCAAGAAATTGTAGGGAACTGCAAATAAATGTATTTAACATATCACACAACTGTGGTGAGAGAAATATTGTTATCGTAATGTACATGTAGTATACTATGGTAATAGTATTTCACTCTTCATAGTAATATGTGGGATTTAAAGTGGTTTAGCTGGGTAGTGTGCTTGCTATCTCACTTCAACTTCTAATCCAATTTAGCCCTGTGAGAGTTCACAGTAAATGAGTTCAGGGTTCTCCAGGCAAGCTCCCTGGTTGCCAGCATGCTTATAATATAAAGGGGGAGTTAATTTTACAGTTAGTCATTTGATTTTATAACTGGGCTGTTTTTATCAGCACAAGTTGAATACACATCCTTGTATGTTGCCCCCAATGGATGTCATCTTAAAAATGTATGGAGGCATAGATCAATGTTTAAAATCAACATGCTTAATACAAAACTTTAGCTGGTATAGTAAAATATATTCTCTAAAATTGCACATCCCTGCTAACCAAAAGTGAATCAACATCAATTAAACCAACCCACCCTTAACAGCATAGGATATTACAAATAATACCACTTACGTTTTAGTCAAATGTGGTAATAAGAAAAACAGCCAAATATGTACAACAACCACCTGTATGATCAGAAATATAAACTTTCCAACTACGTTCTTACGAAGATACAAGCCTCTGTCAATGATTATCAGTGCAAACTGTACCAACCACAACATAACTGTTGCTAATGGTAACTTGTTTTCTTCAATAAAAACTGTAACATTGCCCTGCGCCATGCTTTTCTGTAAAAGAAGTAAACAGTATTATATGGAGTGATCATATATTCTCATTGTAGGTGTAAGCTTCAGCAAGCTGGTCTATCACGTCACAAAAACAATGTCAAAACTATCTTGTATTGATTGCACTATCTCAACATTTTATTGACTTGGAGTTAAATAAATGCCCATGTTTAGTGCCTAAATGTGTGGTAACGTTTTTGTGTCCCATGCTCTGAATCTTACCAGGGCAGTGTGTCACTGACATTGGTGTGCCAACACTATGTCGCACTTCATGGCTTCCTTTAGTCAACGTCTCTTCAAATTTATATTAGTGTTGTTATGAAAGGTGAACCTATTAAATGTTTGATCCAAAATTATCTAAGATATTGTGGTGATAATATTGAGACCCTAATTTGTTATTTTTTTCAAGGTTCCAAAGCAATTAGTTTCCATTGTCAAAAAATAATCACTTAGAAGGTGTGAATCTATGAGGCTATTACGAGAATACTGCAAAGTATACACGAAGACAGTACAACGAGAGTATCGGCTGACGTGCAGCAGAGGTCGATATGACCGCATCTTTTCTGAGGGCATACTTTGCAGTATCCTCGTAATAACCTTATTATTATACATCTTTTCTGCCCAGGAATACATCATGGGAATGCCGAAATCCAAAATGTTAAGAACAGATTTAGCAAACTTTTTTGTGTGTGGTTCAGCCAAACGCTGGGGGTGTAATCATTCAATATTTGGAATTCGCATTTCCTAATATGATAGCATGAAAATATCCAGTGCAATACAACAAAATTATGGCACGCTGTAACGTTAGGGTGGCAGATGTTTAATAACAAATTATAATATAGCTTTATTTGAAGCTTGTTTGATTGTTGCAACCTCATTCAGTCATTTTAGAAAGCAATTAACAAGTCCACGGACCATGCTGCTTCTGGGAAGTTGGTCTTAATAGGCAATACAATCGACCACTTCAGACAGGTGGTTGCTCTATACAGTGTCTCATACATGTAAATTTGGTTGGGAATGTTTGATAGTGGCCACTATAGACAAGTGGCCGCTCTATAGAGGTGGCCATTAACACAGGCAACAATGAATTGAATTTACTGAAATGAACTTACCCCAAATGCCCAGAATGCAAAGACTGTGATCAGAAAACAAATGAGATCACACAAAAACATGATAACATAAATATCAGCGACAGCACTGTATGTTGGATCAACCATTTGTTGATAGAATTCTATAAACGGTTTGAATAAATGACCCAACCTAGTAGAAAAATATATCATAAAATAAAGCTGGTTACTGGAAACACAAGATAATGTTGTGATGTTGATGCAATTATTATTAATTGTAATTCCATGCACTGCCAATTAATTTATCAGCATTTTCTGATTAGTATATCGACACCATGTACTAATAACCAAGCAGTGCTTGAATTCAATGCAAGAAAAGAGAAAACACAAACTGTGTGTGAATTAACAACATCCAATGTTTCCTCACATTTGTTGTTGAAAAGAGAAAACACAAACTGTGTGTGAATTAACAACATCC